ATTCAATGCGCCTGATGCTGCTGCGGTCATTAGACAGTTGGGTCATGCTCGAATCTTCATCGTCATGGATCTCAAAAATTCATTCAATCAAATGAGAATACATCCTGACGACAGGTGCAAGACAGCATTTTGGACACCACTAGGCCAAATGGAATGGCTCGGCGTACCTTTCGGTCTGTTGAATGGTACATCCGCTTTGGCAAGATGGCTGTATTTGAATGTGATCGACCTGGAAGGTGTAGCAGTCTACGTTGACGATATCGTCATTCATGCAGACGATGAAACGACTCTACTGAAATACTTTGAGGCAATGATGAAACGACTCCATGAAATAGGAGCCTATATCAATGTCACTAAATGTAAATTTGGAGTTGATGAAATTGAGTTCCTTGGATTCAATATCAAAGGTGGACGACTGACCCCACCAAGAGAATCGATCAAAGCCATCAATGCAATTAAATTACCTCACGATACTACTACTATTCGTCGTTTCTTGGGTATGGTTGGATACTTCCGAAATTTCATTAAGGATTTCGCGAATATCGCTGGACCATTGTATGAACTATTGCAGAAAGAAGTTACTTTCAAAATGACGGATGAAAGGATATCCGCATTTCATCTACTGCAAAAGGCGTTATCCGAGTGTCCCGGCCTGGCTAACCCACATCCATCGTGGCCATATGTCCTGGACACTGATGCTTCGACCACTGCGATTGGTGCTTGTCTTATGCAGTTAGATGAGAACAACTGCCTACATCCAGTTCGATTCGGGTCTCGTCGTCTCACTCCTGCCGAAAGAAACTGGCCGATCTATGAGCTTGAAGGTTTCGCGGTAGTACATTTCATACTTGCATTCAGGCCGTACCTGATTGGTAGAACTTTCACTGTGAGATCTGATCACAAACCACTCCAGTGGTTGTGGAAAATCGACAAGCCGCGTCTAGCCAGATGGTCAATGGCTTTGCAACAGTTTGACTTCAAGATTGTGTACAATCCTGGTACAGCGCAGGAACAGGTCGACATATTCACCAGAGACGTTGATTTCACTACGGCCGATGAATATGTAGATCGACATCTCGGAATGGTAAATGTGGAAAAACCTGTGGAAGACCGAGCTGCACGACAACTTGAAAGACTAGTTGGTGATGAAGTAACTTCGATTCCAGTAAAAACAAGATCAAGTGTTGATACCACGGTTATTCCAAACCTCGTTGTGGACAACA